GGACATTGACAGAGGATTACTCAAAAAGTACACAGTAAAAGTACTTCATAGTACTTGTGGGGGTAGTTTCACTAGTACTGAGTCCAACAGTGTCAATCTCAAGAAGAACTAATGGCAGAAAAAATAATAACAAACTCGAGAGACGGCTGAGTTGACCGCAGTGTAGAATCGCTGCATAGTTTAAATCTCCTAACAAAGTTGTCCATTTTAGACATCGGCTTATTATATTTACAGCCCGTAATAACATTCATTTTCTGGGCTCAATATGTGTCTTGGCTGTTTTCGTTGTGATCGCTAAATTCACCTTGTTTATAATATTATCACCGTTCCAAGCACACGAGTGCTTTTGTTTTGAAATCACTTCTGTGAGTTTCGCCCCGCCCCTCGCCCCTCGCTCCAATGACCATTTGACCATTTAGTAAGGTAAAAAGCAAAAAGGCCTCTCAGACGCTCTTCCGTTTACTTGTTTAATAAAGAAAAACAAATGGACGGTAGATACACGGATTTAGGAGGCTGGGATTTGTTGACTTCATGTCTATGGAAACAGGATATCTTTCCTCAATTGTTTCTCATTGAATCTTGGACGTGGGGACCTCTTTCCGCCAATTACCAATGGCTTTCCCCTGCATCTACATAACCGCCACCACCCCCTGTGACTGCGACAAACACACACACTTTTATAATCGCTTACGAATCTCCGCCATTGTCCCAGTGGGTCCGGGTCCCACCAGAGAAGGTCTACCACACAAGTTGCAAGTGGAAGTGCAGCAAATCGGAGTCCTCTGGATCACACTGTCACTCTTCGTGTCGCCTCTGTCTTATTACCCGCACATTTCCCAAACAAATTTCCCCAAACTGTCCAGATTCTTGCAGCAATTAAAGCATTTCTCTCATTCCCTCTTCCTTTCTTCCCTGTACTTTTGGCAAGAGACGCGACCATGTTGGTCAGGTCGTCTCAGCGTTGCTCGGCCAAAGCTGACACAACCAATCCGAGGAAGCAACCATGATCTGACAAATAAAAGGAACAGAGGATTACAGCTAGGAGGACGTCTGGGGTTCGAGCAGCAGTGAGAATCACACAGGACGTGCCATTGTTTCTCAACCACTGATAGTTTTTGGCAGCCGTTGGGTCTTTTCTTTCCGAAACCCAAAGAACCGTCCTGCTCTGGCAGAACCCTTATAAAAGAGACATAGAGAGGTTGAAAATAAGAAGCATTTATGTGGCTTAAGGGCTGTTGGCGTATTTCGTTGAACTGGAATATAAACCCTCTTCTGGGGTGAAAGGGTGATGGTTAAAGGAGGAGAACTCTGACGCGGGATGGAGATGCTCTCTATGAAAGTGGTGAGTCATGAATGTGCAAATGTACTTCATAAAGAGAATGTGTAACGTTATATGAAGATGATAGGTTGGTTGGTAGCAGTTTATGCCTGTTTTATTTCGAAAAGTGCAGTATAACGGGATCTCTGGAGGTCCGGAGCAGCACTTGTTTCCATTGGCCTTGTTTTCAAAAAAACTGGCCAGACAGGATTCAGAGAATGATACCAAATGACAGCACATTTTCCACTGTGCCTAGACTTTGTTTCTTTTTCTGTGTGTGTGTTGTGCTGAAGTGGTCAGTGGAACTTATTTCACCTCAGATTTTGTTGCTTATTTAGTTTACCTCTCAGTGATAATCTGTCAGTAGCTCCTAACAGTCTGCGCATTGATTTGAAAATGATATCAATGGCCAAGTCACTTTTATGAAGTTGTCTCAAAGAGCAATCTCAGTTGTCAATCTACATTTAAGTCACCTAAATGTAGTGGTCTCAATTAAATGTTGAAACACAAATTGCTTTATTGAGAGCACTCAATGGTCATCTTCCTGGATAAATAAATGACTCATTATGAATGAGTTATTTTGGACAATATGCTTAATTTGATATTGAGAATATCTGTCACTCTTATGTCTGTACAGTAAATATCAAGCGCAACAGCTCAAATGTCTTTGCTTCAGTAACATTCATATATTCATTCACACTCTTACAGTTTTTATATACCATAGGCTCAAGATATACGTTTTACAGGTGTCTGTATGCCTTTGGACAGAACAAGGTTAGGTGTTTCAAGTCTCTTGCTAAGCTAAGCAAAGCTAAACTAAGCTAAGCGACTGCTGGTCATTCATGGAACAATGTCTTATATCACAAAACACAACAACAACAAATTGCATTTTGCTCTTTTTGTTAATGTCTTGTCATTTTTTTATATATACACAATATACAAAGAACGCAAAGAGAGCCCTGAACCCAACTGAGACTATAAGCCCTGTCTGGCAATGTTATCAGTAAATTGTGTATCCATCAGGATTAATATCTGTTTCAAAATGTAATAGGTTCTTGCTTGGCCCATACTTCACCCGTCCACCAAGATCAATGAAAATCAGGCCTGTAGTTCTTCTGTTATCCTGCTGACAAACAGACCAACCATGCAAACGACAAACTGAAAAGGAAACATAACCCCAATGGCGGAGATAATTAACCTTTATAAGTACTACAGAGGAAATTATGAGCTGGGCAACTAAAACAAAATACTTTAAACTGGAAGGGCACTTAAGAGAGTGGAGACCTCTGCCAAGGCCGTTTCCATAGATAAAAAATAATGCATGTATGTGCCCCATGATTCGGATCTGCTCCAAAATGTAATGGCTTCTTCCTTGGCCCATGCCACAAACACAAAAATGGGGCAATTTTTTTCCGTAATGCTGATGACAAACAGACAAACAAAAACGTCACCTTGTTGGCAGAGGTTTAACTGAACCACTTCTCTGTAACAGTGCCAAAACCGCTATTTTCTAACTAGGGTGTTGCACATCAAAGTGCACTGATTTAGACAAATGACGGAGCATGAATGTTCTCTGACATCTCTGCAGTAAAAGCAATGGAGAAACAACCCACTTTATCATTGAAAGTGAGGGACAGGACAGAGGGACACAGAGGTATAGGGCAATGGAGACAGCCAATGTTGGACTCCTTTTAATGTCATTAACTTCATGTCCACTTTCATTTGTTCCCAAGCTGGGACAACACAATATGTGTGTGCGTGTGCATGTACTATGTGTAATAGGAAAAAGGTAAAGGAGACAGAGGACAAACACAAATGTATCTGACAGAGCTGGACAATGTCACATTCATTCACATGAGAGTGCATACTTTGGACAGGATCTGCTCATTATTTATTACTTTCATGACCGTACCATGCTTCCAAACATCATTAAGAAACCCACCACGTATCCTGTCTTATTTATGCAGCCAGGTGCACAGAGGGCACAGCAGGACAAATATAAAATATCCCGGCAATCAAGGGCTTTTGACCATGTCCAGGTTGGAAAGTCCTAAATATTCCCACCTCCGGTTCAGGTCAATAAAGTTAATCATAAAAGCTATTTATTTTGCAAGGTTTTAGTGTTTGGTTTCCATTTCTATTTCTCGTGAGAATTGTTTTGCGTTCAAGAAAATGAAACCCATGCTGCTTTTGCTTGATCCTTAAATATAAATTGTCTAAATGATGTTGTTGAATGTGAGTTTTTAATGGACCTTTGGAGGATACTGAAACACACCAATATTAGCTCTGAAAGGGGTACTGTTGGGGTGGTTGACGACGTACGCCGGTGTAGGTCCTAAGAGGGATCCGTGTAAATGTACGCTAAGAGAGTGAGTGCTTATTGTTTGTAATTAGGGAGAGATGAAATTGAATGCGATTCCTTCAGATGCACAGCATGCTGCGCTAATATAACAGAGCACTCGTCAAGTCCACGCCACAAAACCAATATGAAAAACATCTGGTTCAACATCTCCCACTTCCCATGAGTGGATTGTGGCACTGTGACCTTGACGGTGTTCCGTTTTGATTTGACTGTGTCCGTGCCAGTGCCTCTGTTGCCTCTGAGGCAAAATTAAGGCTGCTTAGGTTTGCTTTGTTCTTCTGTTATTACTGCTAAGACTTTTTTTCACAGTCAGAATTTGGTAATTTCCATTATATACAATTACAGGATGCGGGTGATGTAGATCTACTGTGTTGTGGGGCTTTGTCATTTGAGTGGAATCAAGACCATGTTTCACAAATATTCTTGAAATGATTAGGTAAGCGCTTATTAGGCAGCAGTAACAGAAACCACAGTATGTGGACAATTTCTGGAGCTTGCTATTGGCTCCAGTATTAGACGTAACGTCTAGAACTTGATTTAGCTACCATTTTATTATTTAATGTTAAAGCTATTGAGAACCAGGATAATTTGCTCTGATGTATCCTCTTCCTTAGTTTAAACTTGCCAGTGGTATTTCCGATAAAAACTGAAATAACAATGCAAATAAAATATGTGCACAGTAGGAAAAGACATACCTGAAAACAGCAACCAGTTCAAAAAAGGCCCAACTTCCTCTATGATAACAGTGTGTCTTAAATGTCTCCTATTTATCTTAGGCATATATTATATGCCTCAGATAAATAAAAAACATGTCTATGAAGTGTTTTGCTCAAAATACCAAACAGATCGCCCATTTTAGCCATGCCTCATACCCCTCTATTTCAGCCCTGTTAGAGAAGTGCTGAATCCGGGTCCATAGCTTTAAAATAATTAAAATTAAAATAAATAAAAAAACGAGAGCCGAGAGAAGAGCTCATACAGGAGAATACCGAGATACTCAGCAAAACGCTGTCGTGATTAAACGCCATATTATGTTCCAAACCACATCAAGGATTATTTCTGAAACGGCATGAAGCTCAAATGCTTTTTCTCTCGCGGGTTTACCACAAGGTGACTCCCTTTTTATATCCTGATTTTTTACACATACTCTCTCTAGTACAGCGTTAGCTCTGAGTGTTAGCGATGCTTGCTAGTGTAAACACAGACCATATTACTTCCAAAACGTTGCGCATTGTTTCTGATAGCGAAGTTTCTGATAGGGCCGTGGGTGTTAGGGCTGGGTCAAAAGTTCAGGACCTACAATGGCAGAGACCAGATGGATTCAGTCTTTTAACAAAGTTTAATTAAGGAAAAAAGGAGCAACTAAAAAACAATCCACAAAATGAAGGTGGATCTAGTTCTCGCTGGTGGCGGTGGCAGGACTCAGGCTGGCTCGAGCAGACACTGGAAAAACAGAGGAAAAAACAAGGTTACTCTTCAACAAAAACAGCAAGAGAAAATCACACTAAACTAAGATACTACGACGTTCAGCTCTACCGAGTGAGACGGAATTATCTGGCACTGGAGTGTGAACATGACCAGGGTTTTATGGAGGAGTTGATTAGATGAGTACAGGTGCTCCTCATTGTGAACCAGCTGCACCTTCTAATGATCACCACACTGCACAGGAGAGAGAGAAAGAGAAGACAGAGAGGAGGAGGAAAAAGCAAAACACCTAAACCATAACAGTACTCCCCCCCCCTAACGGACGCCTCCTGGCGGCCTTCCTGGCTTGTCAGGGAATTCCCTATAGAAATCTTCCAGGAGGGTGTGGTCCAGGATAAGGGCCTTAGAGATCCAGGACCGTTCTTCAGGACCATATCCCTCCCAGTCCACAAGGTATTGGAAACCCCGACCACGCCGGCGAATGTCCAGAAGCTGGCGTACTGTAAATGCAGGGTGATCATCAATGATCCGGGGAGGTGGGGGGGGGGGTCAGCCGGAGGAGAGAGAGGACTAGAGACAAAGGGCTTGAGCAGAGACACGTGGAATGAGGGATGTACCTTGAGAGCAGGAGGAAGGCTAAGGCGGACGACACTGGGATTTATGACACGTTCGATTGTATATGGACCAATATACCTTGGGGCCAACTTGCGCGACTCAGTCTGGAGCGGCAGGTCCCGAGCAGATAACCAGACCCTTTGGCCGACCTGGTAGTCTGGAGCGTGGGTTCGGTGGCGATTTGCCAGCCTCTGGTTACGGGCAGCAGTCCGGGTGAGGGCTGCTCGGGCTTCCCGCCAGACTCGGCGGGCACGACGGAGATGGGCCTGGACTGAGGGAACGGTCACTTCCGTCTCCTGGCTGGGGAACAATGGGGGCTGGAAGCCGTTAGAGACCATAAAAGGGGACATACCTGTGGCGGAACTGACCAGGGAGTTATGGGCGTATTCCACCCATGCCAAGTGCGAAGACCAAGAGGCGGGGAGACGGGCAGCGACACAACGTAGGGCTGCCTCTAGGTTCTGGTTGGCCCGCTCTGCCTGGCCGTTAGTCTGTGGATGGTAACCCGAGGAGAGACTTGCCGTGGCCCCCAGTGCCTGACAGAATGCCTTCCAAACCCGGGAAGCAAACTGGGGACCCCGATCTGAGACAATGTCCTGGGGAATGCCGTGAAGCCTAAAAACATGGGACACTAGGAGGTCTGCCGTCTCCAGAGCAGAGGGCAGCTTGGGCAGGGGGACATAATGGACAGACTTAGAGAAACGATCAACAATGGTGAGGATGGTTGTATTACCTTCTGACGGAGGAAGTCCTGTAACGAAATCCACAGCAATGTGCGACCAAGGGCGGTTAGGTATGGGTAAAGGGCGTAGGAGGCCAGCTGGAGCACGGTGAGAGGATTTACTGCGGGCACAGACAGAGCAGGCAGAGACAAAAGCCCTGGTGTCAGCAGACATGGTCGGCCACCAAAACTTCTGCTGGATTAGGGTCAAAGTTCTGTGAAAACCTGGGTGACAGGCAACTTTAGAAGAGTGCCCCCACTGGAGCACTGGAGATCTCACGGAGGAAGATACGAACAGCCGATCGGGAGGACAGGCCGCTGGGGCAGGATGTTCCTGGAGGGCCTCCTGAACGGTCTGCTCGATCTCCCACCTGGCCGCTCCAACCACACAGGAGGTAGGGATGATGGTCTCAACGGAGCTCTCTTCAACAGGGGGTGAAAACTGGCGGGAGAGAGCATCTGGCTTGGTGTTCTTTAATCCAGGGCGGTAAGTCAGAGTGAAATTGAACCTTCCAAGGAACAGTTTCCACCGAGCCTGACGGGAGTTCAACCTGTGAGCAGAACGTAAATAGGATAGGTTCTTGTGATCGGTCCAAATGATAAACGGACATACAGAACCCTCCAACCAGTGTCGCCACTCCTGCAGGGCTAGCACAACGGCTAGAAGTTCCCGATTCCCCACATCATAGTTCCTCTCTGCAGGTGTGAGGCGTCGAGAGAAGTAGGCGCAGGGGTGGAGTCTATGATCCTGGGACGAGCGCTGGGAAAGGATTGCCCCGACACCTAGATCCGAGGCATCAACCTCCACCACAAATTGGAGTTCTGGATCTGGGTGAATGAGGACAGGAGTGCTGGAAAACAAATCTTTTAGTTTACCAAAAGAGGACTCGGCCGCAGGGGACCAGGCAAAAGGCAGTTTGATAGAGGTTAACTGGGTTAGAGGAGCAGCAATACGACTGTAGTTCTTAATGAAACGTCTAGAGAAATTTGCAAACCCGAGGAACCTCTGCAGCTGCTTCCTGGTTGATGGAACCGGCCAGTCCCGAACTGCTTTCACTTTAGCTGGGTCAGGTTTTAACTGCCCCTTTTCAACGATGAAACCCAGGAATTGAACAGATGACACATGAAATTCACATTTCTCAGCCTTAACAAACAGTCTGTTCTCGAGGAGTCTCTGGAGCACACATTTGACATGAGAAACATGATCATCTAAAGACTTTGAGAAAATCAGGATATCATCTAGATAAACAAAGACAAAGTGGTTTAGCATGTCCCTCAAAACATCATTTATAAGGGCCTGGAACACAGCTGGAGCATTTGTTAACCCAAAAGGCATGACTAAATACTCAAAATGACCCAGGTGAGTATTAAATGCTGTTTTCCACTCGTCACCCTCTCTGATGCGAACTAAGTAGTATGCATTTCTAAGGTCAAGTTTAGTAAAGACAACAGCGTCATGCAATGGGCCGAAAGCAGAGTCAATGAGCGGGAGAGGATACTTGTTTTTGACGGTAATGTCATTTAGACCTTTGAAGTCAATACAAGGACGCAGGGACTTGTCTTTTTTGTCCACAAAGAAAAAACCCGCTCCCACAGGTGAGGAAGAAGGACGAATGATGCCAGTGGACAAGGATTCCCCAATATACTTCTCCATGGCCTCTTTCTCCGGCCTGGAGAGGTTGTACAGTTTTTTTGTGGGTAAGGGAGCACCAGGGAGCAGCTCAATAGCGCAGTCGTAGGGCCTATGTGGTGGCAGAGAGAGGGCACGATCCTTGCTAAACACAAGTTTAAGATCATGGTACTCGCTAGGAATAGATGAGATATCGACCTCCTCAGCTGGACTTGGGGATGGGGAAGAAAATGCAGTTTTAGCTGATCCTAGGCAATGTGAGTGGCAGTGATTACTCCAACCAGTAATGGAAACAGATGCCCAATCTATCTGGGGATTATGAAGTTTAAGCCAGGGTAAACCGAGAACAGGTGACAGCGGAGAGGAGATAACAAAAAGTTCTACAGTCTCTTGATGATTACCGGATATGGTCAGGGTAATGGGAGCTGTGCGGTGTGTGACCTCAGCTAATAGTCTGCCATCTAATGCTAACACTTCTTTAGAATTAGCCAGTTCAACGGTGGGAATGGACAACTTAGAGATGATGCCAGAGTCAATGAAATTGTCATCAGCTCCAGAATCAACGAGGACCTGGAGGGGATATGTGTCCTGTAACATACCTGGGATTTGAATATGACAACCAGGGGATAAGGAAATGGAAGAATGGCTCACCAGCGTTCCCCTTATGGCTGATGAGCCCGCTCTTTTGGCATCTCGGGACACCCCGCGATGTAATGGCCCCCTTGTCCGCAGTAGTTGCACAACCTCAGGCGGAACCTGCGTTGGCGCTCTGCTTCAGTCAACTTCATCCGACCGATCTGCATGGGCTCCTCCTGGTGAGACGTGGGTTGAGATGCTGGCGAGAATGGTAAACGAACACTGGCGAGCTCCGGAGGTGGGCGAGGAACAGCTGGTGACACACAGGAAAGGGGGGGAAGGGAAAAAGGCCCTCTGCCTGACTGACCTCTCCCTACGTCTCTCCCTCAACCGGTTATCTAGACGAATAGCCAGACTAATTAACTCCTCTAAGTCGGAAGTCTCGTCCCTAGCGGCTAATTCGTCCTTGATTTCGTCCGCCAACCCTCTTAAAACACACTCTGTAAAGCCGCTTGGTCCCAAGTACACTCTGCAGCTAAAATACGGAAATCAAGGGCATATTGGGAAACTGAGTCTCTTCCCTGACGGAGCGAGAGAAGCTGGCTGCCTGCCTCCTTACCCCTAACAGGGTGGTCAAAAACCTTACGCAGCTCTCCGGAGAACGCATTATAATCTGAATACAGGTAAGGCTTGTTAGAAGAAACTGCCAGCGACCAAGCGGAGGCTCTCTTAGAAAGAAGGCTCATAACAAAAGCTACTCTAGACTGATCAGAGGCATATGTAACTGGCTGCTGACTGAACACTAACGAGCACTGATGAAGGAATTGGCTGCATGTCCCTGGATTGCCTGAATACCTAGCGGGGATGGGAATATGTGGCTCCCGGAGACCTGGACTCAGTGTTGCTGGATGAGCAGACGGTGAAACGGGAGAAGGAGCTGGAGGGACTGGAACAGGATCTTGGGTAAGCCGGGTCACCGCGTCTTCCATGCGGCCGCTCAGCTGAATCATACCCGTCGTGAGTTGCTCAAGTTTTTCATTCAAGCTTCTCAGGACGGACTTGTGCTGACCCATGAGCGCCCCCTGTGAGGACAGGGCCTGCCTAAAAAATTCAGTCTCTGCCGGGTCCATGTTTTATGGCCAGATAATTATGTTAGGGCTGGGTCAAAAGTTCAGGACCTACAATGGCAGAGACCAGATGGATTCAGTCTTTTAACAAAGTTTAATTAAGGAAAAAAGGAGCAACTAAAAAACAATCCACAAAATGAAGGTGGATCTAGTTCTCGCTGGTGGCGGTGGCAGGACTCAGGCTGGCTCGAGCAGACACTGGAAAAACAGAGGAAAAAACAAGGTTACTCTTCAACAAAAACAGCAAGAGAAAATCACACTAAACTAAGATACTACGACGTTCAGCTCTACCGAGTGAGACGGAATTATCTGGCACTGGAGTGTGAACATGACCAGGGTTTTATGGAGGAGTTGATTAGATGAGTACAGGTGCTCCTCATTGTGAACCAGCTGCGCCTTCTAATGATCACCACACTGCACAGGAGAGAGAGAGAGAAGACAGAGAGGAGGAGGAGAAAGCAAAACACCTAAACCATAACAGTGGGTGTAAAGCCAGCCCACATTTCCGATATTACGTCATGTCGGCAGAAAATCTGGATCAGCTCCGTTGTACCCCCGTTTTTAGAGATTTGGGTAAGGAGGAAAAGAGAGAGGGTTGTATTTTCGGACACTTTGTGAGTCTGCTGACACACCGAAGACACATTTATCTATAAAAGACATCAAAAAGTGCATTTTGCATGATAGGAGACCTTTAAATAAAAACCTGGTTCCCTTGAGGGAAATAAAGTCCTGCCCCCCTGTTTTAAATCAGTGTGTGTGGCTCACTTTGAATGCACAACTGAAAAGTGCACATTTTAACCTATCAAGATTAGGAAGATTACAACAGTTATATGAACAAATTGACATTCCTTCAGGAAGATTCAAGCATATCAAATGTTAAAGGTTTCAGTTTAACAGGCAATCTGACAGCTCTCAGCGGCTGAAGTGACAATAATTTACTGAAGAGGGACCCTGGGGTGTGCTCCCTAGTTTCTTGGGAGTTACAGCGGTAATGAGGCTCACTCATTTCTAACGTGATTTCCTTCGCCCTTTCCAACCCAGTAAGTGTTAAGAAGCTGTAAGACGAGACGTGAATGCCCAATGCTGCCTGGTAACATTTGTAACAGACTTATGGCAGAGCACCTCTTCCATTATTGCCCCCTGTCTTAGACGGAGATTCCTCATAGATCACCTTTAGTGCCTTGCTTGCACTTTATTCCCCTCATAAACAATTCTTAAAGGTAGGAGAACAAGAGCTTTGCAGAAAGTTTACACAATGGTAGCAGCACCGCAGACAGACATCTATTATTCCCAAGTAGCTTCTTATTGAAGTGATTTATAATTTTCACATCATCCTGACATGGTTTATTTCAGTTAGAAAACACAATAAATTATTTTCCGACTGTCATGTCAGAATAAATTACAGATAAATCAAACTCTTGTCAGGCTTGCCAGTGGATGAAATAGAGGGGAACACAAGTTTGGCCTCCGGGTATTGTTACACATTCTCGTTGGTTTTGCGGCGCTATCTTTGATATTTTCACATGCTTCTCCTAGCTTCTGGGGCCAAGAAGCCAGTCTGGACTGGGCAGGAGGAGTCACCGGGAAAGCCAAATATTATTTCACAGAAATCCAATATGGGGGTACAAGTATGACGGCAAATAAGTTGGCCCCCGTCCTTGCTGTGCACCACCCACAGAGCGCCCGCTAGCGTTGTGAATTCTGATTGGATGACCTCACTGCTCGGACCTCTGCTCAGTCCAGGGTCTCCAACCAGGGTCCAATAAGCCACCCCATAACTGGCTAACACCCTTTCTTCCTTACTTTTTTGGAACATTAAAACCACATAGTTGCAGCAATTTAGGATTAGCGTGCCTAGCATCAGTTGAACGCTGCGCTAGGTGTGTCCAGATTAGCGTGGGTTGCGGCCTGGCGCTTCCATTGTTCTTCTTTGTTATTTTGGGAAAAAACCCATGCAGGATGGTTTTCACTGGCCGGGCCATCAATGAGGGTCGTGTGAGTTTGGGTGCAGAGTTATTTTCTTGCAGCTATGTGGCCCCAGACTTCCAGGATTTTTGACACAGCTGCACGAAGATAGCCGAACTACTTTATGCTGCGTCATAGACCTTTGCCAGGCGTAATTACAATGTCAGTCTGTTTAAAAAGCAGTCTTACGGGAATGCCAGGGCCCCATTACTGCATCAGGACCATGCACTAGGGGCCGTTGGGCCATAAAACACTCATCTGTGACCAGCAGTAAAAGAAGCAGCAGAGCAAAAAAAAGAATATGGCACTGTGACAACATAGTATTTAGTGCAATAATAATCACACCCCCTTTTTGCTTTTATAGCATGTAAGCTTGATTGATTCATTGCCTTGAGGAGAGAACACATGGAAATGTACTCGTGACAGTGTGTGGGACTACTGCAGCACAGTTTCCAAGGACTAACCTCAGTCATGCATTAGTAACTGTGTCTTACGTTGGAAAATGTAAAAGGTGAAAGGATATACATTGACTTATGTTGCTTTCTGGTAATGTTGTTTGAATAAAATGCCTCTTATTCCAATGCAACTGACTGAGCAAGTTATCAGTGTCTCTGAGGGAGGTCTGCAACCAGCATTTTTGGTTGTCTCTATAATGTCAGAAAACTGAAAAAAGATCTCAAAGATATTCAGCTTATTATGATAAAAAGCATAAAAAAGCATATTAGAGAAGCTGAAAATAGACATTTTCAAGGTGGTCAAGAAAATGAAATGAAAAAGGATATTTTAAATTCATATTGACATGACATTGACCAATATTCGATAGCAAGGGGCCTTTATCATCATCATCATCATCATGTCCTGTTGCTTTTCAAAGATGGAACCAAGGTGGACGCTGGATGAATTGCAAAAACCAGAAAGATATTTAAAAGAATAAAACAAATGTGGGTTCAAACACTAAAGGGATATTAAGGAACATTTTGGATATGGGCATCAGTTGAAAAACATCTGGCTGAATGGTTTTAAGGTTTCTCCACATGGATTCTCGTCATAAAACGAAACCACACAAGTCAAATGAAAAAGGACAGAGACTGAACTTGTGTCAGTTGTTTTACAGTATCTGCTGGTTCTATTAGCAACATTAACACGTGGCCAAACCAACCCCAACAACAAATCAATCAGGGCATGGTTTGGTTAAACAAAACAGGCCAAAAAACTTAAGCTGTAGTTATGTTTGTCTAATACTCGTTGCGCTATTTTCTTGAGAATGTGGTGGAGACCAAAACAGAGGTAAAAGCAATATTCTCTAGCTGCTTAATGCTCAACTATGCACACCAGATAGTGGCTAACTGTCTGTTTGGTGCTTTTTCCCTGAAAACGGCTGCCTACTGCTGGTGAAAGCAACTGTGATGCAAGCGGTGAGATTAAATGGTAATAAGGGTTCCGTGATTGGCTGAGGGTATCGCTGTGGGTGGGTTATATGGGCAGATTTGTTTGTCTTTTTATTTAGAGACATCGTGAAAAAAACATTGCATAGAACAAACATGCCGTGAATAAGTGATATATGGACCAAATATATGGACCACTATTTTGTTTATTGAATAGAATGCAAAAGTTAAGAGTGTGCCAAAAGCAGGCTTGACACTCAAACAAATACCCCTGCTAAAACTACTACTACACACAAACACCCCTACAGTACCTACACACATATATTTTTGCAATTGCTGGTTAGGGTGGGAAAATGCTTACCAACCTTAAAAAATAATAACCTATAAAACGCTAAAAAGCTTTGTACATCTAAGGGGTTCTGCAGCGTGGTAATTATTTGCTGGTACACCTCTATGAGACTCCTTTCACAATAAACATTACAATTTTGATTATAGCAGCTAGGGTCAGAATGACATCAGGCTTCGGTAAATAATAACCATCATTTTAGTTTTATTTGCACAGCGCTTTAACGGGTACTTAAAGGCACTTAAGATGCTAATAAAAACAGGAACAGAAACATCAAATGTGGTTACAAACATCTAAAACAATGATAGAGGAAAGGGGAGGGTGCTAATGAATAACAGATTAAGAGCAAATCAGAAGATTTTGTAAGAGTGAAGTTGTTGGGAAGAGGGAATATAGAAGACCCTGACCCCCCAGGTCCAGTGCTTGGACCCGGTTAGAAGGGTGAGGACGTCGGGGTTGGCAAATTAAGCAGCAGCTAAACGTTGGTTAGAATTGTAATGTTGAATAGTGATATTAAAGAGAAACATTCCGGATGATTGCTCACATTGAAGCCCTCTTGTTATGAGTTGAGAAATGAACCTGGGTCGCTGCAGTTAAAAGCAAAAAGAACATAGCACTCCGCCACCCCAACCACAACAGCCTTTCTTTCCACTGTGCTATTTCTATGTCAAACCACTGCCTGTTTCTAGTCATGTCTACTGCATGTAATCCTTTTGTGGTGGGAAAATGTATTTCTCACTTGTGCAGTTTTAAGATGTTGTGCTTTTTCCGCCAGATTTTACAGCACCACACTAGGAGTGTCGTAGGATTTCTCGCTCATTGGAAATGATAACAGTGCATATGCTGTTGGGACTATTTGAAGAGGACAGAAATAGCCTGGGACTTTCCCGATATAAAAATAAAAACAAAGCTGGATTTATTATGTTACATTGGTCTACTCAGAGGTAGGTATAACAAAAGCCTTTCTTGTCAATCCTCTAAGGATTACCACCATGTGTGTCTTTTTAAATAACCACATGGAAATGTTTTAGAAAAAACAGGCTCTTCTTTATGAATGTAATGGATATGAATGGAGACAAAATGCTATGTTGTCTCATGTCATTTTCAATCATAAGGAAGAGCCAGAACTGTGCAAATATATAAGTCTGTGTGGTTTTCCAAAGTAAGCACCAAAGTGCCACAGTAAGAAAATAATATTGGGTAAAAGTTACGGTCAATAACAATGAAACTCACTCAGGACTTCAAATTGACAAGTTAAGTATATCATTACGATTGTCCAATCTGATAAAAAAATTAATAACGATAGCCAATGCAGAAGTCTTTACTTATTGAAACACAATATTCTGAGAACCTTATAGAGTTCAATTTTCTGTTCAATCTTCTGTTCAATGTTAAAAACTTAAAAGTCAGCAGGTTAGCCAAGATTTCCTGTCGATATCCGTATTCGCTTCACTCAGAGAAAACACGCCTTGAACGCAGCGTATCGAACAAAGATTTTTTATCATAGACAAACACACATGGCACCGACCGCATGGAACGCTCCAACATACCTGACCTTGAGTGATCCTTGGTTCACACGAAAACATCCCAGAAACTTCCAACGTTTGATGCTGTGATCAAGGCAAGAGTCCAAAAAGCCTGAACCAATAGAAGATGGAAGACATCCAACATTTCTGGACAATTGTAGAATAAGAAGTGCTTGGCTCAGTTTGCTCACTCCATCCGAGCAAAGGTTTGGGCGGGAGGCCGGTCTTCTTGACTGGATGCCATGGGAGCAG